ACACACACAGACAACCCCTCGACAATATGCGTTTTTGCATTGCATAGCTGCAAAAAACGCATAATAGCCCTGCGCTACCCCATAACTGAGCAACTGAAACAAAAATTCGGCACTACGCAATATCCAAGAAAACCTACTTGAAGAATTTCAACAATTTTGCGTTCGCGTGCGACTTTACGCACATTTTCACGGAAGTCCACGAGCGCCGTCAGGTAAGGCATCAGTAGTTCTTCCTTCGATGTGTTTGAGAGTGCCTGATCCGACAGAAGTCGCCTAAATATTTTCAAAAATCATGAAAAACAAAAGCAACATGTCCTTTGATTGATTGCAGTCCATTCTTCAGTTCTCAAATGCACTTGTAACTTTAGCGAACTGCTTTGAACAAAAAAGAACACCAGCAACAGACTGTCCGCTAAGTGATGTAGCTTTTTTTCGAGACAAAACGGGCGACAACAGGCAGACAGGATGGAGGGAAGATGGGAAGTGAGAATTTGAAACAGTAGAAATCTGACAAACCTTTCCTCGGCTGGAAAACCAATCTCCACATCCTGCGGAATTACGCCAAAAATTTGTAGCAACCGTGTCATATACAAGCCCATATTTCGCAACAACAAACAATTGGGAATTTTACTGTGCAATTTTTCCTAAAAACAAAAAACCGACTGTGATTAAAAACGTTATCGCATTTATTCTCTTCCTTCACGGTTTCCAATGCAACCACGGACCCACTCCGGACCGACTATTCTGTGCTTTAGATTCTTTGATTCTTTACTTTTTCTTGCATCCCTGCAGAGATCAGTCTATATCCAAATTGCCAGATCCTTCGGATTCCATTTCTATATCCCTAGATCTTTTATTTTGTTCACTACAAAATCCAACCATTTATATCAATCACTTATTCCATTCTCAACGACCTTGAATTTTTCATTCCAATCTTTACGCCTCCGAATCTTACTTTATATTTATAGCACAAAATAAAAAATAAAAATCTATACTGACCATATCGTTTATATAAGCATTGCCCACGGCAATCAAATCACGTAATTTCTCAATTACAGTTCGTGTGTCGACCGAATCACAAAGCGCTTCATGGATTTCACTTTTCACTTTCCCAAAATATTCCATCAGTTGTAATTCGCGCTCACCAAATTTTTCGAAACTCTAAAAAATATTACAAATAACAAATCAACAGCAAAATATAATTTTTTAAATGTATTCTAAGACACTTCAGATGCTATGAATATTTCGGTACTGTGAACAACAAAACGCAGTTTTTGTTTTGTCTCCGAGCCATGAAATGAGGAACACTAGAACCGCCCAAAAAGGAATGCTCTTACGGGCTGCGTGCAGCTACACCAGACTCACCGACGATTTTAGCAATGGAAGAAGAAATCCTAAACAGCATATTCTGCTGCAAACTACTGGTTATCGCCGTGTTCCCACACAAAACGCATATTATGCGTTTGCGCTGTGTAACAGCAGTACAAAACGCATATTATTACAGGGCCGTCTGTGTGTGTGTGTGTGTGTCCGCAGCAACTTGTCCGCAACTTTCAACTCGGGAACCACAAAA